CCCCAAAACCCCAAAACCCCAAAACCCCAAAAATTACTTAAATAAATAATAAAAATGAACAGAAGAAAACTCTCAGCTCCAGAACTCGGCCAGACACCAAGAAAGCGCGTAAGATTCTGGAAGAGAAGATTCACCTTCGAAGACCTTAATATAAATCCTCAAGTCCAAAACCCAAACTTCACCAGGTAAATCTCCCCTCCTTCCCTACCTTAACCCCCAGGCTCTGCAGCTAAGCGGGATGGCAGAGGACTTGGAAGGAAGAGGTGGGCAGGTGAGGGGTTGGGGGTTAGGTTAGGAAGGGAGTTTTGGGGTGGGAGTGGGGTGAGGGGGAATAGGATTTTTATAGGGTTTGTAGGTGGGAATAAGGGTTAGAGGTGATTTAGAGGTTTTTGTATAGGAAACTCAAACTCAAGATTAAATAAAAGGTAAAATATAGAATTTAGATGATTTTGGCATGAAAAAATTGTTGGTTTAGCTTTTTTGGAAAAGATAATTTTAGGAATAAGCTTTTATTTTAATTGTAAAAGATATCAAATTTTATCTATATGCTCATTGCCTTTAAAAGTACAACAAAATAATTTTGCTAGAAGTTCTTAGTCTGACGGCAAGCATAGGAACAAGTTTTTATTCAATACTTTCCAGCCCTGTGCTAGAAGTAATAAGAAATCTTGAACAACCAGGAATCATTACAAGACTCCCAAAAATCCACCAGTCACAAAAAAGCAAAATTCATCTATAGGTTGAAGTATACAGCTAAGAAAGTCGTTCCAGAATTTAATGAACTTGAGAACTGTTTTAAATCCTATTTCGATGCTAAAGATAAAAGTAAGGGAGACAAAATTGCCTTCTTAAGAGCTACTAATAGATTAATGTTGTTGCTAAATTGAAGAATCAGCATATTATATCTAATTCTCTAAACATGCTGGTTGTTTTAATAGGAAAATGATGTCGAAATAATACTCAAGTTCTTTCACCACCATTCATGTTGAGTTTGGCGAACATCAACACTTCTTTGCTAAACACATCTATAAAAGAGCATTCAGGCTCTCAAAATTCTGGCTAAAATGAACTGATTAAATATCAGAGGTTTAAAACTTTATTTACTTCATTATTTCCTCTAAAAATTATGAATAGGAAAATTTTAAAGCTAAAGTCTATGAAATAATGAAGAAAATTATCGTAATCCTCCTAGATAGATTGTCCACTCAATTCGCTTCTCGAATCATTCTTGAAATTTTATTTTAAGTAAATGTTTTCCCTATGAGATTCTGAGATAGTTAAATCATCATTTCAAGTAGAGTGCATACATCTGGTGTAGAAATCTTGATTCTCTTTAATATTTACAAGAAATGGAATTGGTGTTCATGTTCATTTCTCATCATCCTAATCTGCTCTAACTATAAAAATTAATCAAGCCCCTTTTTACAAGGCTAAAATTGAGGAAACATGCAAGATTTAGCCTGGGCTACATAATTAATGTATGACCAAACATCCTCATGAAAGAAGCTATATCAGAGAAACGACCTTTTATTTGATATTTTTTAATATTCCTCTTAATTTTAACCTTAACTGAGACTCACATAAACCTTCCACAGAAATCGTATGAAATGAATTCCACCCCAAGAATCTCATCCAAAGCCCTAACCACAAATCCATCCCAAAAATCAAGAACAAGATACCGTAAGCATTTCTTTCTCACCTCCATTATCCATCTTCCAAAATTCCTTGTACAGGATATTTCCCTCCCGGTCCCCTCCTATATCCTTCCTAAAAAGTCTGAAACACTATAGAAACCCTCTTCCAGCCAATCCGTAATGCCTAGCACTAACAGATTTAGATGTGAACGGAGTCAAAAAAATCTTTGTCAATGTCTTTAAAAGCAAGAAATCTAACAAGATAAAATTTTTATAATTTTGAAGCAGGCTGACTGAGGATTTTGAGAAGGAAAATAGGGTAGAGGGAATTGGGAGATTCGGGCTTAGTGATGCTTAGCTGGTTAGTACCAATTTTAGAAACCCTTGAGATTTAAAGATCATTTTTCAGAGCGGTTATGGTTAATCTTCAATCTTTTCATTTCCTTTAGGGGTTTTGGGGTTTTGGGGTTTTGGGGTTTTGGGG